TTATGATTTTCAAAAAAAGTTGTTATGAATCAAGTTCATAAGTATATATGAAATGAACTCTGGTCAACAAGTGAATAGTAACCAAAATTTCTTCTTCATAGGTCCTAAAATATCCATTTATAGAATAAACATAATGAGACAAGCTACTGAACCCTCCTAAGGAAACTATTGAATTTATTGAGAAGAACTTTGCTCAGATTTTTTTTTGAAATCCTCTACTGAGAAATCTAAGTATCATTTGAGATCTTGGAGAATCTATATAAACCTAATGTTGAGGGTGGAATTGACATCAAGAGGCTTTAAGTTACTAGTGATACGTGTACTAATAAAAGGTGGTAGAACTTCTAAACAAATCAATCTACATGGGATTCCTTCTTAATATCCAAGTACTATACCATTCTATTGCATATTATGTTAAACTGTTTAATAGGTCAGTCTCTAGACCCCCTTTGTGATTTTTAAAAAACAATGTGCTATCTAATCCATTTCTAGCAACACCCTATTGGGAATCCACCATTTTCTTTAATGCATAAAGACAAACTTCTAAGACGTACAATCAATTACTCAAATTTGTTAATATCCTTTTACGTCTAATGTGTGGTATTAGTAATATATTTATTTGGACACACGATATATTGTTGACATGCACAATTGTATACTCAAATGTTGTTTCTACTTTGATATCGTATGTGTGTCGTTAATTAAAGGAAATATAACACTTTTCCAACATGCACATCATATGTAATGCTATGATAAAACCCTAAATATCAATCATGATTGACTCTGTTGCCTAAAATTCATTTGATCTCTATATGCTCTTGTTTTAGAACTATTCCATTTTTTTCCTTAAGAAGCTAGGGTGTTAATTTGCACTTCTAGACGCCATAATTGTGTTTTAACTTCATTGTTCTCTACTATTAGTTAAAATAACAATCTTTTCTTCTACATGATACATGTTATATGCCCTTAAGTTTTAGGTTGGGAACTCGTTAAGGCATATCTTAGCTCAACTACTCCATCACTACGGGTGAGTATAACCTAGGCCAGCAAGGTTGGCTCTAGGCAATAAAAATAAGGTATATGCTTTAGGCTCCCAATTTTGAGGGCCTCAATATTTTACTAAAAATAAATAATATGTTAATTTTTTTATAGAAAAAAATAATCATTTATAATTAAAAAATATTTTAAAATATGTATTATTTTATTCTCGTTAACTCATTATAATTTATCAATTTATTACTTATAGAATTATTGTTGACAATTCATATAATGATTGTCTTAGTAAAAAGATGTTTTTCACTGTAAAATTGATACAATCTTACCTTAAATATAATTGGAAGAATTTTTTTAGATGAAATTATTTATAAAAAAATATTAAGTAATAATTTACATCTTAAAAGTGTAAGAAAAATAAATTTTAAATACACATAAAAAATTATTTAGATTTTTAGGCCTCTAACTAAAATTTCATTTTAGGCTCCTGTTTATGTTGATGAATTATAAAAAAAAAGGTAGAAGGGAAAAAGAAATGAAGCAACAATTCCAATGCCAATTGTGTTAGATTGAAGAAGTCTTTGAAACTAAGAGAGAAATATTACCTATTGCCCGAGACATGGCTAGAAAGCCTTGAACCCGTAATCCACGAGAATAAACAAGTTTTCCTCCCGCAGCCTTTATTCTAGCGAGTTCATCCCGCCTATTTGGCTGCAACCAAATAAGGGAGTAGCTTATAATTAGGACAAATCATTTTTCACTCGATGCAGCTTGATTAAATTCAAATCGTGCACTGCAAAATCTATAATTGGGAGTAGCATTTCCAATAGATTTTTTTCATACTCAGAATTCAAACTTAAAGAGACATTTGATTAAGAATGGAACAATTTCATCAGTGCACAACTAACTGTTAAAGAATGACAAAAGTCCCACATCGGTGGTTAATGAGATGGGTGGACTCCTTATAAGGTTTGGGCAATCCTCTTCCCTTTGAGCTAGCTTTTGGGGTGTGAGTTAGGCCTAAGACCTAATTTAACACTAACGCATGTAGTCATGTTGATAATTAAATCCTATTTACCTTGCTTTACTTCAGGGTGAAGAAAAGCTTCTTTGTTAATTAAAAACATCACAATAATTATAGAGAATAATTTTTTTACCTTGTGATCGAAGGAGACAGAGAGGGCATTTCCATTCCGGCTAAGAACAGCGCGGGAATCACCACAATTTGCAATGACAATGGCATGATCTGTTACAATTGCTATGATTGCGGTGGAGCCCATGAAGCGCAAGTTGTGATTTGGTGGGCACAAACAGCGGTAGCTTAAAGTAGCACAGTCACAGTTAAAGCATATCATTTTATCCATCCGTTGGAAACTTCTTTGCAGAATTCTCATCCATGCTGCCTCCCAATCTCGTTGTTGTCTTCTATCTGAACTGGAACTACTGCCGCTACTCATCATTTTTGTATTGTTCTCGGGGCGCATCAGTTCTTCTGCTACAATCAAGTGCATTCTTTCCCTACAGAGCGCAGATACCTGCATCCACCAAAAACGATACAGTGATTTCAATTTATTTCCACAAAAAATAATGATGTCCTTGTCTATTTCTATGTTGTTATCTCACCGACCAACTAAACTATATATCCCTAAAATTATCAAAGGATCCCTAAAATACACCGAGTCAATTTTAGGTTATCAAGACTCAAATTTTAATTAATATTTTCAAATTTGTTTTAAAAAATACTTATATTTACAGGGTTCGTCGGATAATGTAAGGTATCACTTCCCCTTGTTTCAGTTTCAGTTTCAGTTTATTATCTGATTTTAACCTTGACATGATATTTAAGAGAGTAAAGAATATTTTCTTAAAATCTTGTAATCTTAAGAAAGATTTGCTAAAATTATCAATATACCCTTTAATTTTGTTGTCTTAAAAACTGTTTGAATTGACTTAAAAATTACTCATATTTAAGTCATTTTCAGCTTTTGGAAGTGTTTTACAAGGTTAAAACTAACTTAAAATAAGTATTGAATGACTTTAAAAAAAAAGTTTAAAATAAAAAATAAGGGTTATTTTTTTACTCAAAAATCTTTTAAATTTGATATTTTATTTTTTGCTTAAAAACTATTTTTGTTAAGCCAATCCAAACTACTCTTATACAAGATTAAAATTGATGGAAGAGTTACAGAAAAAAAAAAGGGAAAGAAATAACTACTCTTTTAAAAATGAAAATTAAAACAAAACACGCAGCTTAAAACATATAATTCATCTAAAGTAAGAATTGTAATCCTCATTAAAAGTAAAATGATTTTTAAAGTTAAATAATCTTCATCAATTTTTTTTTTAAAAAAAAGGAGATATAGGTAATCTAACTTTAAAAAATAATCAAAAATAAATATATGACATGGTGAAAACAAAAAAGAAATACTCTAGCAAGTTTACCTGAGGACCACCATGTCCATCATAAACAGCATAAAAATGAAGGGGTCGACCGCCATTGATGAGCGGGGAGCAAAGATTTGGGTGAATTGAAACCTCATCTTCCATTGAAGGCCTCATTCCTTTTACAGACTTTGATCCAACCGCTGGCGGCGGCAGTACTCCTACCCTCATCTGTGCTTCCCGGGCTTGCTCTCTCCTTCTCAATTGAATTCTGTATTGGCGATGCATCCTTCCTTCCTCGTTCTGATCGACATTGCCTTTGTTCTCCATCTTTAGTTATAAAACTGTAGTAAAGGTGAAACACTGGCATTTTGTTTTATAGGAGGCATCTGAAAGATTAGATTACAACATCTGTCAACAAGATGTACTAGTAGAAACGTAAAAAAAATGTTTGGATGCATCTGTACATATTATTACCGGTAATACCATGCCAAATGAAAATAAACAACTAAGAATGGAGAGGGCTTTTTAGACAACTTCAGTGATGTAAAATGACACGTCATTACAGTGATGTAAACTGTGTACGTACCTTTCGAATTTCTCATTTAAGCGTGAGATAATGGAGTTTTTTCGTGTGTAGCTTTTTTAAATTTACCATCCTAAAATTGAAAGTAAGTAGTGTTTAGCGTTCGAGCAGTTTAATGGGTAGAAAATCTCTTGACAAGTGTTAGGAGGTGGGCCTACTATGACCGAACGAAGAAAAACCGGTTCTTTATGCTAACTGAAAGAGGAAGAATTGGCATGATATTTTGTCCACGTAGTAAAAGATGACGAGAGGAGGCACCGCTTTGAGGAGCAGAGAAAGCCCCTGTGGGTATAGAGAAGTGTTTGGATTGGAGAAGACATATCTTGCCAGCTTTTCCGCATTTACATACATTTTCGAAGATCCCCTCAACTTTATTACTACCTCACTCCTTCGTCTATTTTTAATTGTCATAGTTTTTTTTTTTTAGAGTTAAATTATAAAAACTTTTTGTATAGTTTTTGAAAATCTAATTTTTTTGTTTTAAATATCAAATTAAATGTAATCTAATTTAACTTTGAAAATTAATCTAATTGAATTTCGAAAGCGCAACATGACAATTAAAATTGGATAGAGTGAGACTTTATTGTGCAAACTATTTAATACTCCCTCCATTTCATATTAAGTTAATTTTTGAGGTGTTTCACACCCTTTAAGAAAAGTAGATTAAGACATAAATTGAACTTAGTTTTCCATTTTTACCCTTATTAATTATTGTCAAATTTATGATTAAATGAACTAACTATTAATTAATCACTAATTTCAATACTAACTAATGAAGGGTAAAAATTGGAACAACACTCTAAAAGTAGTCTTGAAAACTGAACAATTAAGTTAATTTGAAAAATGAAAAATGCCTCAAAAATTAACTTAATATGAAATGGAGGGAGTAATCTTTTCGTTTAAAAATGAATAATCTGGTTTGATTTGATATAAAAAAATATATTAATTTTGTGGTTCTATTAAAACTATATCAAATATATCAAAATATCTTTTAATCTTGTAGCCTTAAATATAACACGTGATAAGTTAAACTTATGATATGGTGAGTTGGGAACTTGTAGAGGAAGCCTTAATTGGTTATGGGTTTCCAATTGGATTTGTGAAGCTGGTTATGATATGTGTAACGTCTCCAAAGTATTATGTTATGGTGAATGGAATAGGCTATGGTTACTTTGAAGGGAAGAGAGGGCTACGACAAGGGGATCCTATGTCTCCTCTATTATTTGTATTGGTCATGGAATACTTATCTAGAGTCTTGAAGGTTATGAGTGCTTCACCTTATTTCAAATTTCACCCAATGTGTAAGAATCTTAAACTTACACATTTGGTGTTTGCTGATGATTTACTGATCTTTTGTAGTGGTAAGGAACAATTTGTAAGGAGAGTGATGGAAGCATTAGACCATTTCACAAGAGTCACTGGAATGATAGCAAACATGGACAAATCTAACATGTTCATTGCTGGAACTAATGAGCAGACTAAGGCCCTCCTCTTAAGCATTACAGGATTCACTGTGGGTACATTTCCTATTAGATATTTGGGACCAGAGGCGTATCTAGAGGGGGTGCCGTGGGTTCACGTGAACCCATGCTCCCCTCTCTAGATCATATATAGTAGTGTCATATTTTTAATTTTTTTTTTAAATATAGATGTGTGAACTCATGTTTAAAGTATCAGATAATAATACGATGATGATGATTGGGTGCACCTATCAATGTGAGGATAGAAATTTAAATTTTATATCTATGTTGTCTTTTTGAATAACACCTCTTCAAGTGGTTCGGATGTGAATTTCTTATTTACTGTGAGATGATGGGATTTTTCGCATGCATTAAAAATATAACGTGTAAAAAATCTCTTGACAGGTGGGGCAAATGAGACGAGAAGTTTGAGGATTCGGTCCCATCATCACCGAACATAAGAAAGGCCCGTCCTTTTTGCTAACTGAAATGAAAGAGGAAGAACAACAAGATTATGAAGTAGTAAATACTTTATTCAAATTTAATCAGACTTCAATATGAATACAACACCAAAAAAAATGAAAGAAGGGAGAATTGGCATTAAGGAGTCGTCCAAGTCAGCAGCACCGCTTTGATGAGGATAAGGAGCAGAGAAAACCCCCTGTTAATGGAACCGACAACATATGTTGCCAGCTTTTCCGCATTACGTTCATCTTCGAAGATTCCCTCTTCCAAAACTTGTTTTATTAAGCATCAGTCAGATTAGATTTCAGCTATGATTCGTGGGGCATTTATTAAAACTATCTCCAACCCAATACCAAATTTTATATTATTTTGGTGGGTGAGTAGTAACATTATTAATCACATCAATTCACTTTATTGAATATTTTAATATTATTTCATTATATAAATTTTTTAATTAAATATTATATAAATTGTATCTTTTAATTGAATCTCTTGTATATTTAATTATTTTTTATGTAAAATTTAAAATATATTTTTCAATTATGTAATGTTTATTTAATTGTATCTCATTAATGATTTCACTTTTATTTGTATTATCCATTATTATGTATAATGTATAATGTTTGCTAGAAATTTATATTATTTAAAAAATTATGGTATAAAATAATTTTATATTAAACGACTATAAAATAAAATAATATGAATTATATATGGTGAATGTTTTAGAAAGAATTTGCTTTATAAAATAAGAAAATCTAAATGAAATAAGAAATAATAATATAATAATAAAAAAAGAGAATAATATTTCTTTTTGATATAAAATTTAATGCAGTGGGTTGAAGTTGATTTACACTAAAATAGTGCTGACACCAAATTTGGTGTTTGGGTTGGAGATGCCCTAATGAACTATTAGCACCAAGAAAATTAAGAATACAAAATTAAGTATAAAATGGCCAAAGGCCAAGTAATTTTCTCTTTTTTTCCCTTCCTTTTTAATAAAAAATCTATAGAGGATAGTACAAAATTTAAATTGACCATTAGAAGTAAAGTTTAAAATTTAAATTACAAGACAAGCTCACTAATAATATTAAATTCAAAATATTTTTAATTCACACTCATCTTTTCATAAAGACTTCCATAGATGTGTTGATTTTTTTTTTTCATAACTACAAAAAAATTACTTATTTTTGTGCTACAAAAAAAATTACAGATATGACCACAAAAGAAAATAATTTTAATTTATTTATTCCTTTTCTCTCTTTTATTTCATTCTTACCCTTTTTTTATTTTTATTTTTCATCTTTTTCAAAATAAAAAATTAAATAAAAACAAGAAACTCAAATATAACGATAAGCAAATATATCCATAAATAAGATATTTAAGACTGAAATTAACTGTTGAAATAAAAAAGTAAAAAAAAATATCACGTGTGAGAAATATCAAATGTACCACTGAACTTTGTGAGATAGATCATATATCCCTATATGAATTTTGTTTTAATAAAAACTTAGACAATGTGTTATATGTGACAAATAAATTTTTAAAAATCAATATTTTCACTTCCATAAAGCAAAAAGGCTATTTGAAATATTTGTAAAAAAGTAGGAATCTGTGAACTACTTCATTTAACGAAAGTATATCAAATCTAGGTCACAAAGTCATAATAATAATAATAATAATAATAATAATAATAATAATAATAATAATAATAATAATAATAATAATAATAATAATAATAATAATAATAATAATAATAATAATAATAATAATAATGATGACGACGACGACGACTACGACGATGATGATGATGGTAATAGTAATCCAACATAATTTGCATATTATTTTTTATAAAGATCAAACAATGTGTTAGACCTCAACATATTATAAAAATACTTTAAAAGTTTATATATTTAAATATTATTTAAAAATATTTCAATAATGACAGTTAAAACTCAAAACACTTTAGACATGGTAGAAATTAATACATTATAAAATTATAAAAATCACATAGTTCATATGTATTGACCTTAGTTAATAGCAACCTAAGAGAATCATGTACCAATATTATAGTTTCACGTTCATGTGTTATGCCTATTTTATTACTTGTGAATGATTACTTATATTTGTGAAGTATATAACCTCTATTTAAATAATTTTATTAATTATTATATTTAAATAAATTTAAATCACATATTTAAATAATTTTAAATGTAACTAAAACATATTTCAATAATGACAGTCAAAACTCAAAAAACTTCTAAAATGGTAGACATCAATACATTATTGAAATTATAAAAATTATATAATTCAGAAGTATTGTTCCTAGTTAACAACAATCCAATAGAGGCCTACATTAATATTTTTGTTATAAATTCATTGAATTATGGATTGTCCATATTCTCAATACATGAACTTACTTATATTCATGTATGTATATTTCCTAGGTTCAATGAACTATTTTGGATAAGAATGTATCTATTTAAAATGACACTTAATATGGTGACCTTTGGAGTGATTTCTCAACTTATAAATACGATTGTTCATTCACCATTGTTAGTGATACTTGAAGACATTTGAATAAGATGATCTCTACATTCTACTCCCCATATATCTTGTCTATATTTCTTGTAGTATATTATTTATATTTTACAACAAGTTATCAACACGACACTTTAGTCAATTGAGATTGAGTTTTAGTTTTTCTTTAGCTTATGTACTGGTTGATCTCGTTATGAGAATCAAGAACAAAAAATGATAACTACTTCAATCAAGATATTATATGCATAAAACCAAGTATGTATTTTCTAGTATCTTTTTATGAAAGTTTCAATGGAAACTCTAAAATGCAATAGTGTCTGTCACTAATGGATGTAGTATAGTGGATGGGGTTGATCCTTCCTTAACCAGAGGTCCCGGATTCGAGCCCTAGGTATGAAAAAATTCTTAATAGGAATCACTTTCCTCTGAATGGAACCTTACACTATGTGAATTCCGATTAGTTAGACTTCAATGAAGGGTATGGAACATCAAATGAAAACCACCCAAAAATAGCAAGGTAGAATGACAATATCAAAAGAGTTAGGGCCTGCCTGGATTGACTTAAAAGTTAGTTAAATACACTTTCAAGTCATTTTTAGTTTTTGAGAATGTTTAACAAATTTAAAAATAACTTAAAATAAGTAAAAGACCAGAAGTAGGACCCTCACTACTTTTTTTTTTGACTTAAAATCATTTGAGTTAAAAAAATTTACTTTTTAAAAGCTACCTTTTATGCCAATCCAAGCAAGCTCTTAATATTCTTAAATGTATTTCCCCTTTTAAATGTATTGTAAGACAAATTTATATAAATAAAAAGAGACTAATGATTAATATGGAATCAGAAGATGAGTGATTGATTGATTGATTCTTGCCGGTGATGATTTGTGGGACGTTATATCAAATGAAATGGCGTATCAGGTGTCTAGAGAGTTTCTTCAACAAGAAAAACCATCTGCGTTTTCTTCTCCAAGTGCAGTAGTAACACTACTTACCCAGTTAGCTATGGGACAGGGTAGCGAAGATAAAATCAATGTTATATTGTGGTTGATTTAAAGATAAACTATATTGAAGTTCAGTTTCATGAGGAGAAGGTACCTTTTAGAATTGCACATCTTGGATAGTTAATTAGCATAACCAGCTATTGGGAATTTCCCATTTGAAGATGGTTTATTGAACATCGCTTTAAAGTTTTCTCTTATTGAGGAAGCTTAAGACAATGATCTGTATTTGCTTAAATGACTTCAATTTGATTTTTCTATTAAGTTGCTTTTAGCAACTATTCTTGTAAGCGATGAATAATGTGATAGATAAAGTCAGTATTTTTGCCATTTTTATTTGATTCAAGAATATTTATGTCAAAGTCAGTCGTGGACATTCAATTCTAAACCCTTTTAAAAAAAATAAAATCAAAAGTCACTTTCAAGATGGGGGTTAGGAATGACCCCTATCTTGTTATTATACTACAGGTAAATTTGTTAAGACTTCATAGAGTGGCTGAGGGATGCTTAGTTTGTCAGCCACTTTGTTTGCCTCCCTATAGCAGTGGGTGATGGTAATTCCATGAAATCCCACAAGACTCGCGATATCTATAACAATTTCCTCGATCTTCTAGGGTTTCTCCATATTGCATTAGTGGTGTTCTGCATCATGAGAAAGTCTATTTCAGCAACAATCTAGTTCATACTATTATCTATGCACTGTTTTAGTCCAAACAACAATGCAAATGATTTAGCCTAGTTGCTTGTTCGAATGCCTAAAAGTAGGTTGAATGTTATCAACACGTTGCATGTGCTATCTTTGAGAACCCCTCCTCCTCCACATTTACCTTCTATGCACCATTTGTCACTACTAAAAAACTGCCAAAAACCGACGGACAGAAAAGTGACGGACTGCGTCGCTCCAAAAAGCGACGCCATTTGCCACACTGTCCGTTGCTTTTTAATAAAAATAATTATTTTTAAAATTATTTTACAAAAAGCGACGGACGGCATCTCTTAGTCCGTCGCTATTTTTCGCGGATTTTTGTGCTATATATATATAATTAATAATTATTTATTTAATATATATAGAGATGCCGTTCGTCACTTTTTAATAAAAATAATTATT